ATTATGCCAGCAGATTGCTCGCTCTCACTCTCACCTCCCCGACCCTTTTGCCTCTGTCATAGATCCAATCGTGCCGTCGCCCACACCACCCCCATGTAGGCGCTAGCATTCAAACTCCGTTGCTGCCCTTCACCTATCGTTGTCGTGGTGGCCAAAGCGGGAAAAGTGCCAAAAAAGTCATAAACCTTTTGCATTAGTGCCAATTTAGTCCTAAACCTTTTTTTGGTGCCAATTAAGTCCTAAACCTTTTAAGTTGGTGCAAATTCAGTCCTAAACCTTTTTTTGGTGCCAATTAAGTCCTAAACCTTTTAAATTGGTGCAAATTCAGTCCTAAACCTTTTATTTTTGTGCCAATTTAGTCCTTCCGCTCAATTTTGATCGGAATTTGCCGACGTGGACGCCTGCCGGTCACCGGCGCCGACGTGGACAACTTTAATAATATTTTTAATATTTTTTGAATTTTTTTTGTAATTTTTATTTTTTTTCCTTTTTTTTCTTTTTTTTCCACTTTTTTTTTAGGTCGCCCCCTCGTTCCTCTGGCCGATCGTCGGTCCGGCGACCGGCCAGAGGCCAGAGGCCGGCGAGCTCGACCTCGCCGGCCACCGGCAAGGGCGGCGGCCTTGCCCGGCGAGGGCGTGCCTCGCCTTGGTCGGGCGAGGCTCGACCTCGCCAAATTCGGCGAGGTCGGGCCTCGCTCGACCATGGCGAGGCTCGAGCTCTCGCCCGAGGCCTCGGCGAGGGCAAGCCTCGCTAGATCCGGCGAGGTCGGGCCTCGCCGCGGCCTCCGGCGAGGGCTCAAGCCTCGCCATGGTCGGGCGAGGCCCGACCTCGCCGGATCCGTTTGAAATTCGTGTTTGAATAAGTTAATTTCTTCTTATTTTACAAGACAAAACCGAGATTTTCCCAGATAAATCAAATCTTCCATTTCAAAACAATAATTTTTTTTTGGCCTTCTTTTTTTATTTTTTTTACGTGCTCTTTTATAATGTTCACAAAAGAAGAAAAAGATTAGACGAGAAGCAAAAGGAACATAGCGAAAAAGAAAAGAAAACAAAGAAGATTATTAGCCTACGAGTCTTTCTTACTTCCTAGTGAGGAAACACGTATGAATACCCGTCATTCTTGCTTCTTTGCCGTACAACGAAAGAAACGTGCCATGCAAATCTGGCTACAGGAATGCCACGTGGCGACTTGTGAATGATCCACTCGGGACTTTGGTTTTTCCACACTAAAATCGTGTGTTACGTTTTTCATCTCGTGGGCAGATTCACGTGCTAAAATTTGCCATTGCACCGGTGCATGTCGAGATAGAGGAACAGGACTAGAGCCGGGTGATTTTTCGAGATTCGACCCGTTCGATATCGAGTCGAGTCAAATCGGTTGCGATATGGCACGATTCACTGTTCCGAGTTCAACCTGACTTTGCTCGTATGAAACCGGAATAGATTTGAGCTTGTCTATATGAAGTGCGAGTTCCAACTTATCTCTTACTTTCGATATCACGAGTTAATTTGAGCTTGAGCTTGGATAATACTATATTTTTGTTTGTGTAATTATCTAAAATCTCGCGAGTTTAACTATTTGAAAACGATTCTCGCGTGTTGCTCAGCTAAAGTATTCTCGAATATAAACTTTTCTCGATTCAAACGTTTAAAAGATACTCTAATCTTAACTTAAACTCGGAAAAACGGGACGGACTCAACAAATAACCCGACTCGTTAGTAACCTAATGATACGTAGCATTGTCGCGAACCCTTGCCCCAACCTCGATCTCAACAGGTCAGTTGCAATCAACTAGCCAGCTAACTACCATATCGGATGGTATTATTGGGTTTCGAAACTCGACGTAAGTCCAGGCCGTGGGAAGTAAAATTGAATATAGTTTTTTGCGATTTTCCCGAGATAAATAAGGGATTTACAATGCAACAAATTGGATGAATTAAGACCACAACGAGAGTCTCCCCCATTGCAGGATTTTTCTAATCGGGCGTCGGAGCTTGTTCAAAAGTTTGACCTTAATTCTGGTGTGGTCTCCTCTCCCGGGTCAAAAGTGCCACCAACAACAACAGCGTTCAAAGGAGAAATGAATTTCACATTAGAAAATTCTGCCAACAAAATAAAAAAAAAAAGAGAGAGAGGTTAGGTTGATACTTTTGACATTCTGGCGTGGACCGCACAGGCAGCACCCCGACTTAGTTCAACACCAAATTCTTACAAAAATTCAGATCTCAGATTTCGAGTCACGTAGGAGGAGCCACAGAATAATTTCGGATTTGCCCTGTATCGACTTGACTTTCGGAAAGCCCGAAATCTCGTGTTCGATTCCAATTTGATCCCTCGGAGGTCGGACAAAATGTATAGGGCGCTCCCGTTTGAACTCTCGAGCGATCGACGGCGCGTCTTGGTTGATTTGGAAATTCCCATTTACAATGGTGCACTTCCGAAAAAAATAAATATCGGCTTGAACCGAGTCATCCTAATAAATACGCTTTTGACCAAGAATAGAAAGATTGATCTTTCCAAAGGGTGACCGTGGACATTTGACATCTGGGGCTTGCTTGAATCGTAATGCCGCGTGCGATTCATGGCAAAGTTTAGCACTAAGAACAACTCGGTACGAGCGATATGGAATTCTTAGATTTTAGACTGATCTGTCTATTTAGCGAAAAATGAATGATTTGAAAAATATTTTCCTAAAAATGATGGCTTGTATCGATTACAAAAATAAATAAGTTATAAATATTTTCATCATTCACTAAAATATTTAGATATAAATTGATGTCGATAATGAAAATATTTTCTCTTATCTAATTATTATAAGCAATTACTTTATGAAATTATTTTTCAAATAATTCATTTTCCGCGAAACGAGCGGAGCATTTGAAAATACGTCCGAAGAGGAAGGAGGAAAAATCAATTGGGATTCACTAATCGTTATAAAAATCACGATTATGCACTGAATTAAGATCGTATAAACACACAGGTCCTCTCTTTTTTTCCTCTCCTCTATATGTTTTTATGTAGTGGATCACAAGTTCAACAAGACACTAGTCAAAATGTCTAGCTAGCCCCACTCAAAAGTCGCAAGGGCCCAGCATTCACTCGTTCGTGTCTTCTTTGCTCTCATCTGGGTTTAGATGAAAAATGGATTTTTTCAAATGAGCGTTCTCGACACGTTTGTTAAACAGCTAATTTAAGAAACTTCGGTTTTTTTCTTTTTTTTTTTTTTGATGCACCGACCATTCTCGTGTGATGCGATGTGCAATCGCTATTTTGGAAAGTGCAATGCTTTAAAGCAAAGGGGCCTTTTTTGTTTGGATTTAAATGAAAGTAACAAGTGCTTTCCTTTTTTTTTCGCCAAAATTTAAGGGGTTGTGGAAAAATTTTATACGTGATCTACCTGTCAACACTTAAGTGTTACGAAAGTTTCGGGTGGATTTAAGAAAAAGTTAAAGTGTGTCGGTGGCGAGATTTAGATTGAGCAAAAATCAAAAGGTAAAATGAAGAAGCGGAGAAGTGTCAAAAAGTCCTAAACCTTTTAATTAACATTAGTGCCAATTTAGTCCTAAACATTTTTTGGTGCTAATTCAGTCCTAAACCTTTTGCATTTGTGCCAATTGAGTCCTAAACCTTTTTTGTGCCAATTCAGTCCTAAACCTTTTGTATTGGTGCCAATTCGCCCTAAACCTTTTGCATTGGTGCAATTGGTCAAAACCTTTTTTGGTGTCAATTGAGTCCTAAACCTTTTGCATTTGTGCCAATTAGTCCTAAACCTTTTGTATTTGTGCCAATTTAGTCCTTCCGATTAATTTAGCTCAAAAAGATTTAGGTGACCGAATTGGCATCAATCAAAGGTTTAGGGTCGAATTGGCACAAATGCAAAGGTTTAGGACTCAATTGGCACCAAAAAAGGTTTAGGACTCAATTGGCACTAATGCAAAAGGTTTAGAGCTAATCAGCACCAATCAAAGGTTTAGGACTGAATTGCACCAAAAAAGGTTTAGGACTAAATTGCACAAATGTAAAAGGTTTAGGACTAAATTGGCACCAAAAAAGTTTAGGACTAAATTGGACCAATGCAAAAAGTTTAGACTTTTTGACACTTTTCCCTGAAGAAGCCCATCCATGCGCAAATGTATGCTTTGATCATCACCTCTTTGGGAAAGTGCAGTTACGAGTGAGACTGTGGGGTTTGGTTTTGCTTCGAAGGCCAAACCGTACTGTAGAAATACGTTTGACATGGTAATACCAGAAGTCCTACACTGATTGGTACTCGAGTCCTAATTTTTTTTTTCATTTAAGTCCTAATATTTGCAGGCTTTGATGAATTTGAAAAGTCCCACGTAATATTTTTCATCATTTTCCGATCCTACGTGGTTGTTAACTCGGTAACGGAACTTCCTCAGATACAAAACGACATCGCTTCATCTTGCCATTTCAGAAAAAAGAGTTGAATATTTTAGAAGTGCCAAAATTAAGAAAATCAAATATGTAAGCTAAGAAAAACAAAAAGACCGAGAGAGAGGGAGATTGCAGGTTCATGACGAGGAGGGTATGCATCAGGGCAGCGCCGGCGTGCGCCTTCGTTGGACAAGGGCCGGCGACTCTCGTCAAGGTCACAACAAGGGCGACTAGTCCTCACTGGTGACCCGCCGAGGGTAAGTTGGCCTCACCGTAGCCCTGGCGACACGGTTGCCGACCCTTGCTTGGCGTGGAGGGTTGGAGGTGCCCGTGCACCCCCCAAAAACACGCTACATCTTTACGTCTCTTTTCGTGTTCTTCTATACAATTCCTTGGTCTCTTTTTTCTGATGTGCTTCCATTGGAGGGGAGCCACACAAATAGTAGGGGGTGTCAACGGAACCCGCGCAGGCCCGGCCCGCACCGCGCCGGCCCGACTCGGCTCTAAAATTTGGGGTATTTTAGGGTCGGGCTTTAATCTTCTTCGAATATGGCCCTAAAATTTTGGGGTATCAATAGGGTCGGGGTAGGGTCGGCGCTGGGCTCGGATATCGTGCGGAGGCCGATTGTGTGGCCGGCGAAGGATTTGGTTGGGGATTCGGTGGAGGACGAGAGCGTCCGGAGGAGTGGAGAAGGCTGATTTGAGCGGCAGAGGAAGCGAAGACAGTGAAGAGGAAGTGCAGGAAGAGGAGGAGGAAGAGTGGGTTGATTGGGAGGATAAGATATTGGAGGACACGGTGCCTGTGGTTGGCTTTGTGAGGATGATTCTGCACTCTGGAAGGTGAGGCCTCACATCTTTTGGTGAGAGCAGAGTAACATCTACACGGTGCCTCCGTTACGTTAAACCCAGCTTTTGCTTTTGCGTTCTCTCTACCAACTGCTCTGCGTGGGTGCGTGCGTTTCGTTACCTAAGTTTAGCTCTCTTCAGGTGGAGGTAAGGAGGTGCTTCGCGTTGGGTTTCTCTTCCTTTTTCTCGTTTTTTTTTTTTTCTGGGTGGTGGATGCTTTGAATTCTAGTGTGTCTGAAAGAGGAAGGGGCTTGGTGTGAATAGGAATCGGTTCCGGGTTTGTCCGTGCCGTGTTGAGGCAGGTGATGAGGGTAGTTCGAAGGCATTGAGGCATTTGTTTGGTCTTTCTGCGATTTCCGATGCAGTTGAATGATGTAGGATCTTGAACGGACTCCTTGTGTAGTTATGGCGTTTTGATCACCGGTCCGATATGCACATCTTGGTGCTGGAAGAGGTCTTTCTTAAGGGGAGAGAGAGAGAGAGAGAGTTGGCATTTAATGGGTATCGTTGTAACTTGAAGAAGTTAGGAATTGCATCCTGCTTATTTCGTTGGCATAAGTCGAAAGAGATGATGTCTGCTCACGCTATAATTTATTGTTAAGTGGGTCTTTTGCTTGCTTAAGTTAGTCTTGCGAAACCCTTGCGATTTAAACTAGAAAACGATTTCAAAGCAATTTAACTCCGTCCCCATGATTTTACAATCGAAATTGCGATTTTAACTACCATGGTTGCTTGATATTGGATGAAGCAAGTAGTGAAAACATTTTAGATGAACTAGCTCATTTTGGAAAAAGAATTTGGTGTACTACGGTATTTCACAATTTATTTTCTGGCTTTTGAGCATGCTTCTGTGTCCATGTGAAATGTGCATAGATATCCTGAAAATTGCTTGGTACTTCTATCCTTTCTATTATGTGAAAATGTGTGACTTTGTCTTGATAGTGTCGATTTTGCTTACCTTGGTGCCAATAGTTATACTTAAATCTCTTGGCTAGGTACGTATTGAGGCGGCTCTGACATTACGTATGTTGGCTGAGGTTGATCCAACATGTGTTGGAGGTTTGAGATCTAATAGGCAATGCCTAAATAATATTTAACTTACATAACATTTATGAGAACAAAATGATCTACATAAGTCCCTTACTCTATAAACAGCCAACTGGATACACCGAATATTGGGTATAGTCACTCGAAACATGTATGATTATTCACCAACTAGAATGATCTATGTGCTTGATAAAATAGTTGGAAAGCTTTTCCATTCATGAAGAGGTAAAAGCACTATCTAGTACTCTGAAATGCCTTAAGATCGTTCCTGTTAATTCTTTTCCCACTTTTGTCCTGTAGAGTAAGGAACTTAATCCAACTTCTTTGGAACTCCTCCCAACCTCTGCTGGCTGAAGCATTTAAGTATTAAATCATGTATCCATCTAACTATTTGCCTCCCATTTATTTATTTATTCATACGCTTGAATTATAAGTCACATCTTAGTCTATGCTCATGAGAACATATTTGCCTCCCATGTCGTTGTTCTGTTAGTATTTTGTCTGCATATTTATATGTCGATGAACTAAACTTTGGGCTTCTGTTTGGCCATCTACTTGCACAAGTGGTAATATAATTAAATACATTATTAGATTTCCTCCAATGCTCTTCATGTTTGCTTTGCTGTGTTCGTTCTATTTTTCTTTTCGAGGAAATTTTGGATTCCAAAATGTGCTGGGTGTTGTTAGTAACCCAACCTTATCTTCCAATCAAAGAAATTAAATTTGTGATGCTGCTTTTGAAAATTTTCATATTTTGTGTTACTCTCACGTGGTGCCTTCAATTCCTGATGATAGCAAGTTAAATTTGCTTAACATAATGCTACCTTTTAGGATGAAATTTTTCAGTAACATTTACATGATATTGTTCTTTTCAGATTCAGTGCCCCATTTTGTATTATGATTAATGAGCACTGTCCTTGACTTCTCGTTAGTGGTAAGTGATTTTTCAACAATTTCTCTCTGTATAATGAGAATTGTCTCTCACGCTTTGAATTGATCAAGCCTGTGTCATACTAATGCGCTGCGTCTATCCACTTTCAGGCGACACTGCATCGACGGGGAAAAGAAATTCGGAGTCCAATCCTTTTGCACTAGCTTTATCTTTGGAATGTCGACCCATGATGATGTATTAGTAATTGGAGCAAGCCAGTCTTACTTAGGAGTGAAAAAATTTCAGTCATTGCTGTCCGTTATTGTTGTTTTAGTTTCTTTCTTTTTTTTTAGTTACTTTGTACTACAGAACTTGTTCTGCGATGGTATTGTTTTAGTTTCTTTCTTTTTTTTTTAGTTACTTTGTACTACAAAACTTGTTCTGCGATGGTACTCACGCAATGAGAGTGGGAAGAAAAGAGATTCTGGCGTAGTGTTGGAAATCGTCTCTATTATCATTTTTCCGTCTTGTGCATATGAAAAGAAAAAATAAGAGAACAGAACCAACCTAACCTGATTAGTCATCTGATGATTTGGTTCTATATTTGTGGCGGGTTCACAATTCCAATCTATCTGCACGAAAAAAAAAAAAAATCGAGACCCGGCCCGACCCAATCCGGCCTGGCCCAACCCGGCCTGGCCCAGGCCTTGGGGTGTGCTGTGAACAGGATCTCGGATGGGTCTGGGCAGGTCAAGCATTACCTTGTAGGTTTCGGGTCGGGTCGGGTATTAAAAAAGCCCGACCCGACCCGACCCATTGACACCCCTAACAAATAGGCCGCATGTTTACAAAAACAAAGGAAAAGTGATAAAGAAAGAGATGCCACATGCATTTTTTGTCTTCTTAAAACGAATGTGGCTATCAAATTTACTCCAAGTGCTGACTTCAGAGCAACTTTTGGGATTGTACCACAGGAAAAAAAACGTTTGATAACTCTAAGTGGCGAATCAATACAAGTTTTAGGACTCCTATTGTTGTTGTCCTCTTTACAGTATGAAATTGATAAAAAGTGTCCCTAGGATATTTGTTAAGTAACCAATAAAAAAAAAATTCTAAGGTGTGGTTTCGGAATCGCACACTAACGGTAACATCTACAGGAGAAGAAGTTATTTCGGACCGATCCGGCCCGTTTTGCGTAGGCCGTGTTCTTTGAAAAGAACACTTTGAGTAATCACACAAGATGGTGGCCATCGGCAAATTTTCTTGCTCGTGATACGATCCTGAGGTCTTACGTATAAGACGGTGAGACTTAGAGTAATAGTTGGGATGCTCACAAAGTTAGTGATGGTATTTACCAAAGAGGAAGCAAAGAAAAAAAAACAGCTTTTTCCCTAGATAGGCACTGTAAATTGCTGTTGGACTGTTCCTAGTTGCTCTCAAATTCTCAATCCACTTACATCTGAAATGATCTTGTCTTTTCTGTTCTCCACGAAGTCACTCATTACAACCACCTCGTTTGACTTTTCATCCCTTAATCTAATCCCTCGACATACTCAACCCACCCCTCCTTTTGGTGTCAATCAAATTCAAACTCTCATTGTATACTTTATTCGGGGATGTCATTGACGATTTCTTATTCATTTTCGATATACTGATTATGCATGACACATGAAAAATATTACTTTTCAAGTTATAATTTGTTTTATTCGGATATTTAGCAAGTGCGAGAGACTCATTAACAAAATCCCATATTTATATCCCACTTGCTGTTTCTTTTCCTCAAATTTTTTTTAGGCTTTTTTTGCTGAGTACAACTTGCTGTTCTAAATATGGCCTGCTGCTTATCGACCGTTCCTGTGCTCCCCAAAGGCCCCGTCATGCAATAGGGACGAGACTGACCAAACATGATAACGCGCGCATCGATTAGGACATGCGAACCGAAAATGGAAGCAATCGTGCGATTGATATATACATACATTTCACGTAGATTCCGATAATGCAAGAAGCCATGTCGTGTCAAATCAAGAAATGCTTTTTTTGGTTTCCCAGATCTTTTATCGTTTCTCTCTCTGGCGTTCGAACGTCAGAGGAAGCTCGCGCACAGTGAGCAATGAATCCACACTCGTTTATTTTATCATCTTTTGTGCTTCCCTCGTCGGAATATTTAATGCTGTCATAATTGTGGCGACCATATAATAATGCAATGATACATGATATGTGGTCAGCTTAAATATGCGCAAGCAAGCACAGCACAGCACTTTCTGGACTGCCCTCTTGACCCGTTTGATTATTCCCCTGATCTTGATCCAGATGCGACCACAAAGATGTGATCTTTCGTCTCTCTTGGTGGTGGGTTTCTTGCAAGAATCGGTGTTTCGATGAGAGAGAGACGGAGAGGGAGGAAGATCGGAAATGGGGAGGCACGGATTCGTCAGCGCGAGAGATAGAGACGGGCTCGCATTGGTTTCGGAGAGGCTGATAGAGGCGGCGCTGAATGGCGATGGTGGGGCGGTGAGCGAGTGCTTGGAAAGCGAGGCCGTGGATGTGAATTACATAGGGACGGTGAGGCTGCGGGTGAAGTGCACCGAGAGCTTGCTGAGAGAGGAAGAGGCGGATGAGTTGGAGATCGAGGTTAGGGACTTTGTGACGGATGTCACTCCCCTGTTTGCGGCTGCTCACTCTGGTCAACTGGACATTGCGAGGAAGCTGCTGGTAAGATTTCCAGACATCGTCCTTGCCTTGCTCTGTTCCTATTTGTTTGTTTTCCTTTTAGTGTGGTATGTGCTTGTGGTTCTATTGAGATTTTCCATTTCCTGGCGCTCGTCATAATGTTGCTCAATTTCATAGTAATTGTTCTGTAACTCGCAAACCCTGGGGAGTTATCATAAACGTGTGAGCATAACCATGGATATGGGATCAGTAGCTATCACGAACCGAACTGTAGAGAAGTTCTTGCCTTTTGCTAACTTTGAAAGTGAACATCAGATTAAGGATGAAGTGAGGTCCTCACTTGAAGATTAGGCGGCTTTCGTTTTCATTTGCCGATTCGGGCTTTTGATGATTTTTCTTTTTGAGCTTATTTTCGTCGTTAATATACAATGTGAGAGAATTTGAGCTAGCAAAACTTTTTAAAAGGACAAGTTTTTAGACTGATTGAATTAATGCTAGCTTGCTTTATTGAAAGGGTATATTCGTTATGGATGTCTGTCTAAAAAACCATTTGGATACTGAACGTCTGCTGAGTGTTCTATAGTTTGAGACGCTGGTCGGTTCTTCGATTTGGCAGAATTCTCTGATGAAGAAAAATAGAGAAATGAAATTTTGGTGAACTGATGAGCAAAGCATCTTCATCATTGCTTTGTGACTGCCTGGTCTCACAGGGAGAGGATTTGTGTCATGTAGAGATTCTTCTCGAGCCATTTTGTAATCCATCTTTTTGCTGTAGTCAGCTGGAGCCGATGTTAATGTGGAACTTTTTCGAGGCTATGCAACCACCGCCGCTGCTCGCGAAGGCCATTGTGCCCTCCTCGACATGCTCCTCAAGGCAGGGGCATCCAAATTGGCATGTGAACGTGCGTTGATGGAAGCTTGCCTATCTGGTCAGGCTGGAGCTGCTGAGCTGCTAATATGCTCCGAGATGATTGGACCTGATGTGGCTCAACATGCGCTTGTATCTGCAAGCTGCAGAGGCTTTGTTGATGTTGTTTCTGAGTTAGTCAAGGTATGTACTAATCTCACTAGTCATTTGGGTTCTCTACGACATGTTACTAACGGATTGATGACCTTTCTCCTGCAGAATGGGGTTAACATTGATTGCACCGATAGGGTCCTCTTGCGCTCCTTGAAGCCTTCATTGCATGCTAACGTAGACTGTTCGCCGTTGGGGGCTGCAATTGTGAGCCGGCGAGTGGCTGTGGTTCAATATCTGTTAGAGGTAACGTTGTACTTAATTCGCAATATATTTCTCGTTGGTGGTTTTTCCCAGGTGGTAATATATGTTGCTTTGCTAGACTGGAGTACACCGTCACTGTTGGTCTTCATTTGCGTAAACTTATCTTTTGTTTCTTGTCATTGCTTACAAATGCTTTATTAAAAAATGTTAGTCACCAATCACACATGGAGCATGCTCCTTCCCATGTTTAGTAGCATCTTCATCACCCCGTTTGGCTTGTTTTTCAATTTTAAAGGTCTTAATTTGGCGGTTCCGTGCTGATGAGAAAGCTTCATCTTCTAACAGCTAATCATGTCTACAACTTTTAGGCGGATGCAAAAACCGGTCGACATGTTAGGCTCAGTGCTTGGTCTTGGGACATCTTCTCTGGTGAGGAACTAAGAGTTGGTGCGTGCTTGGGGGAGCCCTACAACGAAGCATGGTGTGCAGTTGAGTACTATGAAGCAACTGGCCAAATCCTACAGCTCCTGCTTCATCACGACAACTCGTTCCTCACAAGCCAACTACAAGGAAGAACCCTTCTTTCCTATGCCATCCTCTGCCAAAACCAAGAGGCGGTTTCCTTGCTTCTTAAGGCTGGAGCCGACGCCGAGTTCCCCATAAAGACTGAGAAGGGACATGAATCTCGTCCGATTCACTTGGCTGCTAGAGTGGGTTGCCCTTCCATTTTAAAACAATTGGTTGAGCACGGGTGCGATGTTGACTCAAGGACCGAATCTGGGAACACAGCATTGATGATTGCTGCCCTATTCGATCAACCGCAATGCTTCCTTGAGCTAATTACTGCCGGTGCTGATCTGGGCCTAGTTAATAATACTGGAGAAAGTGCCGTATCTTTGGTGAAGAGAAGTGCTTTTGCTTCCTCTTTGTCCAATATTTTCGGACAAGCAATCACTGCTCGAGAAAAAATCTACTCCAGCAACCTGGAGGTCTTCTCTCCGCTCCATTTTGCCTCGGGATATGGAAATGTGGAAATTCTACAGAAAATCCTTCGAAGTTCGATGGACAGTATAGATAAGCACAACAATTCAGGTTTGACACCAATCCTGGCTGCTGCAAAGGTCGGCCACACTGAGATATTTTGCCACCTCATCGAGTCGGGTGCTGACATCAGTGTCAAGAGCCGGGATGGACAGACGGTTGCATCGATCCTTCAGCATTACACCTATGCCAGTTTAAGGGAACGGTTTGAAGAGATATTGCTCAATGCAGTCTTGTCACAAACTTTGAAGGGCTACTCAGAGTTCCGAGTCCTTCACTTTGCCGCACGTACAGGAAACTTGCCCGCGGTAGGCCAGCTCTTGAAGATGGGTTATCCTGTGGACTCCTTGGAAGAGAGTGGGCATTCACCTTTAATGATTGCTGCGAAGGAAGGGAATGCCGAAGCTTGCAAGCTGTTACTACAAAACGGGGCTGACTGGGGAATACTGAACCATAGAGGTGAGACGGCCCTCCTACTTGCTAGGAAAAACAGTAAAAGCAAGGCGGCCGAGGAAGCGATTTTCGACCATTTGGCTCGATCTCATGTGCTTCTGGGCGAGGAGCTACTCAAGCATACTAGAGATGGAAGGGGCTCGCCACATTTAAAGGTTGTTAGGATGCTGAAAACAGGCCTGTTAACGTGGGGGACTTCTAGTAAGAGAAATGTGGTGTGTAAGGAGGCCATGGCAGGGCCTAGTGGGAGCTTCCTGAAGAACCGGAGGAAGAAGATCGCTGACGAGAACAGTACGCTTTTTAGGGTGGTGACCGAGACTGGCAGAGAGGTTCACTTTGAGGCAAGGTCTTCTACAAATATGGCACTGTGGGTATGGGGGATCAATCTGGTCTCAAAGGAGGCGTCTTCCGGTGATTGGCCATAGAATTCATCTGCCAAGTATGCAGATAGAAACCGGTGATAATGACAGCAATGAGGTGGTGTGTTGGTCTTCCAGTGTGCGAAATTTGTACTAATTACTGTCCAATGCCATGCTGTTTCTGAAGCTGCCATAGAAAATCTTCAGTTAGTCGATCAAATGGAGTTACAATTACACGCTTGATACTACAAAATCTTTTACCCGCTCTCTCTCTCTCTCTTATTAATGCTGTTCAGCATTGTTCTCAACAGTCCTTATTAAGCTCAAATGCCGTAAAGGGGTTGATCCTGGAAAAGAAATGGTGAGGTTTGAGACTCATTTTAGCTCAAGCTTTCTGGTTGAGTAGTCGTATTCTGTTTCTAACAATCTCTCTGGATCAAGTACATAGACGTACTTTTATTAATGCAAAATGAAAGCAGGGGACTAGGCTGTCAGATGTATCGGGTAATCACTTGAAGGAAAGACTGTTACGGATGCAGAACAAAATACACTGTTTTGACCACTTAATATGCAATATATACTCAAGTCTTGCATGCATACAAGACTAACATATAATGGCTGAGATGAAATGAATTCACACAATCCGGGTACATACAAGAATTTTTCCGTAACGTATGCTCAACATATTTATGACAAAGTGCAATGCGCGTACTCTCTCTCTCTCTCTGTGTCAATGATGGGCCTGTTCGGTCAATTATGCACTGATCGAGAGCCCGTTGGTTCGACTTTGGGGGAATGCATTTGGGGAATGCAAATACCTTTGGGCTAAAGGGTTTTCCGAAATGCAAGTAGTGTTTGGTAAGTGTTTTTAAAATCAACTTGGGCTAAAGGACTTTTGCTAATATTTTAAAAAAAAAAAAAGCTCCGGTGGAGCTAAACCACCGCAACTTTCTGTGTCAATGATGGGCCTGTTCGGGGAAGATGAACAGTGGCGATGAACAGTGCAAGTTGCATTCCGAAAATGCAACTTCCCAAAGCACCTCCACCTTTGCATTGGCCAAAGGTTCCTTGGAGAGCATTCCAAATGCAATTGCATCTCCCCAAAGTGAGTAAAAAAAGTTGCCAAACACCATTTGGATTTGGCCAAGGGACTTTAGAGCCTAAATGAGCATTCCAAATGCTGAACCAAACGGGGCCTGAGTCTACCTCCGTGACTCGGTTAAAGGCGCAGAATGATAGGTCTAGGTAAAAAAGATCTTGCAAGTTGCAAATGTTAGAAAACTTCTTATGCTAGATCTTGCCAAATTAAGACATAAACATATTGGAAGTTTTTGGTTTGGACTTGGAGGTCTTGGCCCAATGCAAACCCTCCGTGGATCTTCCTCGAATGCATCATTAGGATATTCTAGATGAATAACTAGATCCTCGTGGCTAAACCATGTGGTTAAGCATGATGCTTTATGTATGTTTCTACCTGCTATCATTTTTTGGAGGAGTATGCTTCTCCTATCTGCTTCTGTGAACGAAAGATAATTTTATTATGTTTTTTCGGCTGTATGTTGAAGAATATAAACAATTCTTAACAAAGACAGTAATAAATCTTGATATCCCGGATCACTGTCTGAACACGCTTGTGGAACTGATATCTTCAAGAACAGAGACTGATAAAACTTATACATTTAACTCAAGATACATGACACTGTTTAAAAAATCAATTGATTAACCATCTCGAATATGCCATTGAATAGTGAAAATCCAGGCAATTATTCGGTCTAGTATTGCACGATCCACAAAAGTTGCATTAGATAGACTCGTTATATAGATGATGTGATAGATAGATGGTGCCAATCAAGTGGAAGGTGAACATACGAAATAGGGTTAGTTTCACCCACTTTTTTATTAGCTGTTCATCTTCATATTCTTCAAGGTGACTACTGTCTGAGGAGATATACTGTTTTAAGCATAAACGTATAATAAAAGTCTGTGGTCTGGCCTTCACTCCTCACATACTTGAAGCCAAGAAAACCCCATTAGTGTCACCTTTTAAGGTAAGTGACCCTTAACTTTAGGTGACCTTTAACTTGTAGGTCCTTGTACGACCAAACTCTGTTTTTATTGCATATCATTTTCCTATGGTCATGTCCTTTATTGACAGACCAAAAAAAAAAAGTGCTTTATTGTTTTTTGATCAGTGGCATCTTTAACAAGAACCACCATTCAGAAGGGTCTGCTGATTATGGCCTTGATCTCAAAGCAATATGGTTGATCAAGAGTGAGGTCATTATCTAGTTTGAGCTTACTTAGTTTCCACATCTTTTGAATTCTTGGTGTGAATTGCACAACTTTCGTGCCTGACCTTGCAAGCTCGCCTTCAAGGATTCTTAAAGTGGGCATTGTATTGTTCTCTAATGCATCGACTTTCTATATTAGGTAGTTGCTAAAGTAGCAAGTGATCAATCTCGCAATCCTGAATTTCACTTCATCTCCACCGGTTTGTGAAAATTACAAAACATTGGCTAGACACCACGATGAGAAACTTGGGAAATTTGCTGGTGGTCATATGTTTTCTTCTTGGGCAATGTGGCATCATTAGAACGGTGAAGGCAAAGAGCAATGTGCGTGAATCTCATGATTTTAGCGTGTTTCTCTGTGGTTCTGTTTCTTTTAGAGAGGAAGAAGTCGGTAACGAGTTTCAAGCAATTCTGGCTCATTTATGGACAGGTTCATATCGTGTACCTTGGAGCGAGAAAGCAAGACGATCCTGCATTGGAGACCGCTTCGCATCATGACATGCTTGCTTCAGTAATTGGGAGGTAAAAGGAGTTCAAAACTTTCAAAAAAGAACAACAAAAGCAAGTGTTTTGACTTTCTTCCTAATGGTGTGGTGGTCTGGTGTCCATCTGCTTTTTATCTGTTCTCTGAAACGTAACATTCTGCTTCAGCAAGGACGCGGCTGCCAAATCGATTTTGTACAGCTATAGGCATGGCTTCTCTGGTTTTGCTGCAAAGCTGACTGAGTCTCAGGCGCAAGAACTCGCCGGTACTTCAAAATCTTTCAACATAATCATGTTAATTCAAGTGAAAGAAATGATTAATACATTTGGGGCATATAATTAATTTGCATAATTTTGCTAGACCTGAAGATCATTTCGTGCACTTAATACGTCCGCATTTGTTGATGTTTCAGAATTCCCCGGGGTTGTCCGCGTCATGCCTAATACCCTTTTCCGCCTGCAAACTACTAGGAGCTGGGATTTCCTCGGTCTCTCTCCTTCTCATTCACCCACCAGTCTCCTTTACAATAGCAGAATGGGCGATGGAGTTATAGTAGGCATGCTAGATTCAGGTCGATTTCTCTCTCTACATCTTTGCCCTCTTTCTGTATTTCATGATTAGAGCATGTCACTTTATGTTTCACACAATGGAGCAGGAATTTGGCCGGAGTCAAAGGCATTCAATGATGAAGGCCTCGGACCAATCCGGTCACGCTGGAAAGGCGGTTGCGAACCGGCGGAGCAATTTGATCCAGCCAAACACTGCAACAGAAAGATAATTGGGGCTCGTTGGTTCGTGGACGGATTCCTGGCAGAGTATGGAAAACCATTGAATGCCTCGGGAGACCGAGAGTTCTTGTCACCAAGAGATGCAAATGGACATGGAACTCACACGTCCAGCACTGCCGCGGGTTCTTTTGTGAGCAATGTTAGTTATAAAGGAATTGGGTATGGAGTGGCGAGAGGCGGTGCTCCCCATGCCCGGCTAGCGATATACAAGGTGTGCTGGAACGTGCTCGGTGGACAGTGCTCATCTGCAGACATATTGAAAGCATTTGATGAGGCAATTCATGATGGAGTTGACGTGCTATCTCTGTCTATTGGGGCTGCGATTCCTCTCTTCTCCGATGTGGATGACCGAGATGGTATTGGTACCGGTGCGTTCCATGCTGTGGCACGAGGAATAACTGTAGTTTGTGGAGCCGCCAATGATGGACCGGGGGCTCAAACGGTGCAGAACACAGCGCCGTGGATACTAACTGTCGGAGCAAGTACCATGGACCGAGCCTTCCATACTCTCATAACCCTCGGAAACAACGAAACGTTAGCGGTATGTGTTGTTATTTGAGATTAGCAGATAAAGTATCCTCGGAATTTTGCACCAAATGTGTGATGAGTTGCTTCTTACTCTCTAAGGGCCAAGCCATATACACAGGAAAGGAAATCAGCTTTACGAGTTTGCTATATCCGGAAGGCACAACCCTCGACCCTACTTCGGCAGGGTTAGATTGATTATACGCTTGTCCGATGATTCTGTTATTGGTAATCGTGGACAAAGAAAGCTAAAGCTGCTAATCTTCTCGTGAGTTAATCACAGGACATGTGAAGGTCTCTCTCCTAATGCAACACTGATGGCTGGGAAAGTGGTCCTGTGCTTCACCTACATGGCACGTAGGGTCGCAGTAACTATTGCCACAGCAGCCGTGAAGGCATCTGGGGGTGTTGGCCTTATTGTTGCCAAGAATCCAAGTGACGGGTTGGCTCCATGCAGCGGCGACTTCCCCTGTGTCGAGGTGGATTATGAGATTGGAACCCGAATTCTGTTTTACTTCCGCTCGGCAAGGTATGTCTTGACAATCTTTGTTATATCGCAATTTTTTCGAAACCTAAAGCTATGTCACTTCACAGAATTGAATGGCTGTTTCATGGATCCTACACAGATTCCCAACGGTGAAATTGAGCCGGACTATAACTGCTGTTGGCAAAGCAGTCCCAGCAAAGGTTGCCTTTTTCTCTTCCAGAGGGCCGAGCTCTATTTCCCCAGCTGTTCTCAAGGTACATTTGGTTTTTAACCGAGGCCTTCAGTCGTCGGCCGTCCAGTTTGTAAGTTCTCAAGGTACATTTGATTCGTGGGAGTTCCGCGAAGGTGGTTTGCGACTCTTGGAAACATACCCTTATCTGCTATTTACCATATTTAGCGCTATTGGCATATGTGGAAATCTTTCGGGTTTTTGCAAAACCAGGAGATCTTATTGTCATGACATGCACGGAGCATGTGGTGATTCTAGCTCGTTTGAAGTTACATGGAGTACTACAAAATCATCAACTAGTCTCTTTTGTACAATCAAATAGATGGAACATCCACTTCTAATGCTGTTCCGTGACACAGCCAGATGTAGCAGCACCCGGGGTGAACATACTAGCCGCCACTTCTCCCTTCGATCCGTCAGAGGACAATGGATACGCGATGCACTCAGGAACTTCTATGTCGACTCCTCATGTCGCGGGCATCGTGGCACTCCTCAAAGCGCTTCACCCGGATTGGTCACCGGCAGCAGTTAGATCGGCCCTCGTAACTACCGGTATGAAACAGTTCTTTAAGATCGACTTCAACCAAACTTCTCGTCCTGTTTACTCTACAACCGGTTCTGTTTTTCTTTCGAACATATTGCATCAGATAATACGTTCATCAATCAGAATACTAAATGCTTGGGACTTTCGACTGCTACTCAAGCGATTAAGCATGGCTGATATTACAAGCCTTTTTGCAGCCTGGAGGAGCAATCCGTCGGGTTTTCCTATATTTGCCTCGGCATCTCCTCTGAAACTGGCCGACCCGTTCGACATGGGAGGCGGCATTGTGAACCCGAACTCCGCAGCCGAACCGGGTCTAGTCTATGACGCGGGCATGCCCGACTACATCGTCTACCTATGCGCCATGGGTTACAACGACACCGAGATCTCTCATCTGACCAATAAACCCACTCCTTGCCCTGCTAGAAGGCCCTCCGTCACCGACGTGAACCTCCCCTCCATAACCATACCGAGCCTTAGGAGCTCGGTCACCGTAACCAGGACAGTCACGAACACCGGACCCCCGCGATCGAGATACTGGGCCGTGATTGAGCCGCCCTCCGGCACCATGGTGACGGTGAAGCCTCGCGTCCTGGCGTTCAATCGGAAAACCAAGAAGATGGCCTTCGCAGTCACGGTCCGTGCCGTCGCACCGGTGAACACGGGATACTACTTCGGAAGCTTGGTTTGGACCGACGGGGTGCATGCCGTGAGGAGTCCCCTGGCCGTCAGGATAGTGAACCAAACACCATTCTATTTAGCTGAATAGAAGGTACAAAAGCATGCTGTAATCCTAACAAAAGCAAATACAAAATCGCGCGTGCTTTCGATTAACATAGCGACGGCATCCGGGAGCTATTACCGGGGCGTCGCGCTTACTTTCGATCACCTGAAATTTCAGGCCGTCCATCGAGCCGGCTCGAGTAATTAAGATGCACGTTCCGTGGAGTTTGAATTTGTCTTTATACTTAAGTAGATCGCAAAGCTTAATCGATGGATCGATAAGGTGATTTGAGAGATTCGTGTTTGCGCGCGAGTGCGGAAGCTGGACTAAGTTTAATGCCATTGCGAGTTTAATACTATAGTGCAAGACGCGAAATTTCTTTTTTTTTTTTTTTTTGATAATCAGAGGCACTGACGGCCGATAAATGGGAGAATAAGCAGGTGTAATTAGCGCGGGAACCATGCATGCTTGTGTAACACTTAAAGACGCGAAATTTCTTTGGTTCCCCCCCAAAAAAAAAAAACTATGGCGTTTGATGAAAAATCAAGGGTAATTATCGAACGTTCACGTCTCGAATTCTTGGTTATAATCGACATTTGTTTAATCATTAGAAAAAAAATTACTGTATCTATAAGATCGTATTTGATTTTTATATTCAAATGATATTTTTTATAATTTCGTAATAGAACTGTTTTGAGAAAATGACACAAATGATCCATGAATTTTGATCAAATATGGAATGTGGTTCCTGAACTTTAGCTTAACGTGTAATGTTATCCCCGAATTTTTAAATTATTCAATGTAATCCCTAAATTTTTGGTACATGTTCAGTTTTGTGCCTGAACTATATGAAAATGTTCAATCTCTCTTTTCCTCTATTTTGCTCAGCTCGTTTATCGACGTAGAGTGCTCCCCATGCTCACCGAGAGTGAGAGGGCACAATTAGTCCTTGCTGGACCGACTGCTGGCATTTATGAAGACCTAGGGTTGCATCTTCTGGTTTTGTCCTGGATGAGTTGCCTTTGTTGAGTCGATATTTTCATTTTTCTTGAACAAATTAAAAATTTGAGCATCACATTATACATTGGGTTAAAGTTTAAGGATCAAATTGAATAAATTAAAAGGTTAAAAACTACGTTACATATTAGATTAAAGTTCATAGGTTATTTGTTCTATTTTAACAAGGGATAATGACACAAACAGTCCCTGAACTTTGACTTAATATGCAATTTGGTCCATGAACTTTTAATTTGTTCAATGTAGTCCCTGAACTTTAACCTAATGTTCAATTTGGTCCCTGAACTTTTAATTTGTTCAATGTGGTCCCTGAACTTTTAATATGTGTTCAATTTAGTCCCTGATCTATTTGAAAATATTCAATATAGTCCCTGCACTTGAATTAATGGAAGGACTATATTGAACATTTTCAAATAGTTTAGGGACCAAATTGAACACATATTAAAAGTTCAGGGACCACATTGAACAAATTAAAAGTTCAGAGACTAAATTGGACATTAGGTTAAAGTTCAGGGACTACATTAAACAAATTAAAAGTTCAGGGATCAAATTACACGTTGAGTCAAAGTTCAGGGATTGTTTGTGTCATTTTCCCTTTTAACAACTATTTTCGCGTCACGATCGCGCTTCATTCTTTTTTGTCTGCTAGTGGGCTCGTGCTGGTCGGACCCGAGAGCATCATTAGCTCCAAGACTTATCTATCGGGAACCGTTGGCCAGCGTCAACGAACGGCCAGGATGAACTCTCCCCTCGAGCACGCGGATCGACTCTCCCCACCGTCGATACCCGAAAAGCATCCGACGGTCCAGATTTCCCCTCCCGGCTCTCCGCGCAGAAAGCAAGCGCCAAAACCGAAAACATTCAAAATCTCGTCCACTACATATACATCTCCATCGCCATCGCCATCTCCATCTTCATCTTCATCTTCGTCTTCAAGCTCATCGACATCGCGTAGCTTCGAAGCGGATCTTTCCCCGGGGAGAAAAATGTCGGGAAGAGGGAAGGGAGGGAAGGGACTGGGGAAGGGAGGGGCGAAGCGGCACAGGAAGGTGCTGCGGGACAACATCCAGGGCATCACCAAGCCCGCCATGCGGCAGGTGGCCCGCCGGGGCGGGGTCAAGCGCATCAGCGGCCTGATCTACGAGGAGACCCGCGGGGTGCTCAAGATCTTCCTGGAGAACGTGATCCGCGACGCCGTGACCAACACCGAGCACGCCCGGCGGAAGACGGTGACGGCCATGGACGTGGTGTACGCGCTCAAGCGGCAGGGCCGGACCCTGTACGGGTTCGGCGGCTGAGGGGGCCCCGGGGGATCTTCTTAGGGGTCTGGTGGTTAGAGGGCTGGCGGGTCTGGTGACGTCATGAAGCTGAAGACGAATTGATTTGTTAGCTGGGTTTTGTCGCTAGTGTTCTTCTGTTGAATCAAATGCGGTGTTTTTAGGAATAGTTGTTCAATTCAACGATGGTGTTAAATGTACTTTCGATGTTAGTGCCTTTGATATGCGGCTACTGCGCTTTTGTTCTCCATGAATTGTTTCTCCGGTCTCCTCTGTTCAATCCGAGATTGTGCTGAAAGGGACGGGCTGCATCGCGCACGCCAACTGTTCGACAAAATGCTCAACCGAGCAGGCGTTCCCACTAATCGTTGCCCAAGCTCTGTTCCTCGTGTTGGGTTTGACAAAGCTTCGTGCTTGTGACAAATGCGGATGAGCTTTTTTCGGGTATGCCTGCTTCGCCAGGCCCAATGGCGCCCGGCCCGAGTTCACTTTGCTCTCTACGATCATGCGCCCGAGGTCATTGACGGGTGCTTTGCTACCATGGCAAGTCCGCTATTGCGTGGAGTGCATGTTTCTAGACTCTCGTCTTGATCTTCTGCGTCGGCACGCGGTGCACGTAAAGGTTATAAAAAGAATGGACTTTCATCTAGAAAACGAGAGAGGAATGCTGATTCCATACTTAACTAGTTATATTGAGATCCGTATGGAATCAGCATTCCTCTCTCGTTTTCTAGATGAAAGTCGTGGCATGTTTCTGGACTCTTGATCTTACACAACATGCTATTGGTGGGATCGGCTCGGTGCAGATGACAGGTGCGCTAGAGTTCCACGAGACCTGGTGACCCATCACATGACTTTCCCGTTAACGACAGCCTCGAGTTTGGCGGGGAGTTGTCGGTCTCTATATTCGATCCATCGATTGGGACGCTCTTGCGGGACTCTAGAATTTGGCCTCGGACAGCGATTTAGTAGATTCGAACGAGACTTCATTCTAGAAAACCCCACATGCATCAACTTCCACGATCTGCTCGGGAGATACCATCTTGGACAAAAGAACAAGTAGTAGCCTCTCTCCCTCTCTCCAGGGACAAACCGAGCCATCAAGATCAACATGCCCCCACATCACATGGATGATCCCGAAGCAGTGCTGGGTGGCGTCAGTGATCGCAGAACCAAGAACCGCTTCTGGGATCTGAAGCGCTCCCTCGTGCATCGTTTCAACGTTACAGCTACTCCATTTTGTCCCGCTTCCCCGATCGCACGCTGCCTAACACCGTCGGTACGGTAATGCGTGCGAATTTGTCCAGAAGGGGTTTGGTTGGCCTTCTCTTTTGGCTCAGTGCCAAGGAGGATGGGTGGCTGGATTGCGAGGGTGAGATGAAGGCTACATTAGAATGAAGACAATGTATGACATATAATAATTGAATTTTTAAAGAATTAAGATAGTTAATAACAGAATGATTAAGATCTAAATTAAGGCGAGAGTAGCATTATATTATTTACAATCGTGACATTCTAGTCCCACATCGGTTGGGAGAAATCTTGTCGAGTGATTCGCAAGTTAACACCAATCTTTAAAGGGTGATCATTTTGCGTAGTTTTTCCGAGTTGGTGATCATTTTGTGTAGATTTTCCTGAGTAATTTTTTTTGGGCTTAGCTCATGTGAAACGGATTGAATTGTTAGATTGAGGATTTTATAAATTAATATTAATATAACTGATTTTTTTAAAAAAAAGTATGCAAATTCAATTATCTAAGTGGTCTTCTTACCTAGTTAAGTTAATCAAAAGAGAAAATAATAATTTTCAAATCACTTTTAAAATGACAGAATTGCCCATTTTATTGAAGTAATTTTTTTAAGTACTAAGTTTAAGTTTCTAAAACATATAAAATGCTTAACAAATGTCCCGATAGCTAAGGTAGCTTGTGCATAACAAAAAGTAAGATGTGCTGTGTAAAAGTCATTAAAAATTCTTGGGTTAACACCATAAATATCCAAAATTGGTACACGTATGCTAAATTTATTCAAAATTAATTTTTCGGATTACACAAAATCTCAATCTTGTACAAACGGGCCACGAAAACTAGTTTGATACAAAATGTACCGGTTTGTGATTTTTTATGACACAGAAGGTATTCTCCCCTCCCTGAAAAGACAAAGTTAAGGAGACAATTTGGAGGTACAGAGCGTACGGCTACTGGCACATTGAAAAAAACACGAACACATGCGTGGAGCCCGCTTGGCAGGATTGGAACAAGCCGCGGTTTAATTTTCGAAAAACTTCTAGAAGCCGAAACTCCCCCATTTAATGATTAGGGTGCATTGGTGCCTCATTGCTCCCCTTCATCCTTTCACATCTGACTCTCTCTCTCTCTCTCTCTCTCTCTGCAACTGTCATGGAGTTTCGAGGAGCCGCCATGGATGTCCTGTGCCAACTCAAGCTCGTGCTCATCACAGCTCTCGCTCATCTGGGTCTGCTCAAACCACACGATCAAGAAAAAGAAGAAGAAGAAGAAGAAGAAATCCCCAACCCCATATTCATCATGGACGGCCCGACGCCCGTCCAAGTAACAGTCCAGACCCTGACGGCCATGATCAAGAGCCAAGCCCCGGTCGTCGAGTACGCGAGGTTCCTCGAAAGACGTGGCCATGGAGCTGGCGAAGGAGAGGGCAACAATGGAGGAGGGTGCGCCGTGTGCTTGAGCAGCATCGAGGAGAGGGCCGAGGTCAGGGAGCTGAGCAACTGCTCCCACGCGTTCCACAGGGAGTGCTTGGACCGCTGGGTGGACCACAACCAAGTGACTTGTCCCCTCTGTCGGTCTCTGCTTTTCCCTTCTACCAAATGGGAAAGACCAAGAAGTTCTTGTTTTCTCCGGGAAGAAGACGATGGAATTTGACCGCTTTTCTCTTCTTTTCTTTTCTCTGTATCCTCTCTGTGATACTTGGCTCCACCAAATCTGGACTGGAGTCATTTATCCAAGGCATTTGACTACTTTTCAGCTTACTCAAGAAACCAAGAAAAGAACAAGAACAGAAACGAAAAAACGACGATTTCGAACTAGACGCAAGAAGGTCTATATACTTCGAATCTCCATATATCCAACACTCACTTTGGTATGGCGTGGCCTTAGAGTTAGACCTGGTTAATGGGCGAGCTCGAGTCGAACAGCTCGAACCCAATTCCGGTGTCGAGATTTGATCGCCGGCAGCACGTAGGTGGAGGCGTTTCTGTACTTTTGGAGCAAGATAAATATCAAATACAGGTGATGGTAAAAGGAATAGGAAACCAACATAAGTCGGTAACGGAATCGAATATGTAAATCGATCTCGTTCATTTTCGCGCCTCTCACTTTTGTTTTTCAGTTCTTCCACACGATGTTTTCGTCTTCCGACATGTCCGGTTCTTCATTTTAAAAGAGAAGTCTGTCCGACAATAATGTATTCTCGGACCAAACCCAAAAACCATACCAATATATCGAGAAAAATCTGCAGTGAACCGGATGTGAGCATTTGCCTTTTCAGCTCAAGGAAATAGATGTTCTGCAACCATTGTCGAATAAAGTTGCTGGTGCATTCTTTCGGAAGGAATTTAGTTACACGTTCGTCGCCGTGTCGTGACTGTGCAGTACGCTACGCAGAGATCGACTTTCATCAATGAAGAACTCAATTGAAGTTTCTAAAGAGGATGCGCAGCAGAAGTAATCTGATGGGAGGCCACGATGGTTGACCAGGATTATCGATGAATGCTGCCTCGGCCGATCCTTTCCCTGCCATGGCAGAAGTCCAGTTGAGCGTGGAGGGCATGTTTCTAGACCTTCTATCGTTTCTGCATCGGCACTTGGTAAGGATCGTCTCGGTGCAAATGACGCGCGCACCGGGTTTACACATGACCCGGACCATCAACTAAACTTCCCTCGTAATAAACAACTCGTGGTCGGCGAAGTCGTCGATTTCCGTATCGATCCATCGATCGATCGGGGAGGGGCTTTTCAGGAACTGGAAAGTTGCCTCAGGACAGCGATTTGGTTTGCGTCCGCGTAACATGGGGGAGTGAAGTGAGAATCCAATGAAATTTCCTTCTCGAAACCCCCCGCATCACTTGCCACTTGGCACGATTTGTTTGGAAAAATGAATAATTATACGAACGGTCTCTGAACTTTGAGTAAACATGCAATGTCGTTTCCAAACTGTTATTTTGGTACGCGTTCGAACTGATCCCTAGATTATATGTAAATATCTATTATTATTATTCCTTTAATTTAAGTTCAAAGATATTATTGAACATTTTGATATAATCTAGAAATTAAATTGAATATGTACAAAAAGTTTGAAGATCATATCGAACAATTAAAAATTTACGAATAACATTACACACTAAGCCAAAGTTTGGGGACTGTATTGAATACATTAAAAGTTTTAGGGCGACATTGCATGACGTGTTAAAGTTGAATGATTATTTGCGTTATTTCTTCTTTGGGAAGTACTAATGTTGGCCGACCAAATAAAAAAGGGTACTAACGCTGACAAAGAACAAATAGCCTCGCCTTAAAAAGATCAACATGCCGCACATTAACTGATGACAAAGAACAAATAGCCTCGCCATAAAGATCAACATGCCCCATATTGACTATTACGAAGCAACATTGCCAAAAAGTCTTGGTATCATTTTCTCTTTGGGAAATACTATTGATGACGTAGAACAAGTAGGCCCTCTCTCTCTCTCTCGTCCATTTTCTCTCTCTAAGGGCCCAACCTTAGCCATCAAGATCAACGTGCCCCCCGGACTGACGATTACGAAGGAGCGCCTAGGTTGCGTTCAGGAATTTGCAGAACCAGGAGCCGCAGGATTCCGGGACCTAAGCTCCTCGTGCATTCTTTCTTTCAGCGTCACAGCTACTTGATTCTCTGTCCGCTTCACCAATCGCAGCACACTGCACTAGGCTGTACGGTCACATGACTCGCAGAGACAAATCTACAAGATTACAGAATAATTTCAGATCTAAATTAAGCTGTTCATATAAGCCAAAGTGTATCACTTAGTACAATTGTGGCATCCCAAAGCTCACATGGATTGAGAGCGCCCGTCGAGTGATTCACAAGTTAATATTTATCCCAAATGGAAGTTACTTTATTTTGTAGTTACTCTTAATGCTCTTTTTGAAAACTTGACTCACATGGAATGGACTAGATCGTTACATATGATATCGGGGTAGAACCCCTCCGGTAGGTGATGTGGTTCGTATACAAACTATGCCTATGCCCATATCCAACGAGGGTGAGAGTGATAACCTGGACAAGAGGGCTCGAACAAGACGTAGCTTTTGGCAAGCTTTTGGGATGATGGAGGCAATAGCAAAAGATTGGGCCACACATCGAATAGGGAGAGTATAGCCAATACTGGAGAGAACATTAATTCATTTTCTTTGTATTTTTTGGAGGGGCAAAAGCCACCAAAACCCTTAAATTATGCATACTTTGATATAATTACCCTAAACTTTTTCCAGTGACACAAAAAATCTCAAATTTGTACATGCGTGATACATTTACCCTCTATCAAAATTTCGTCAATGAGAACCGTTAAAAATTTACCTACATGGATACCAAAAAGCGAACAGTATTGACATAAGTGTAATAAAAACGATGTTGTTTTGGTTAAAAAATTAGTTAATGGAATTTGGACGGAGGGTAAATGTGTCACATAAGTACAAATTTAAGAATTTTATGTCACAAGAAAAAAGTTTAGATTAAACATGTCCGGTGGGCATAATTTAGGATTTTTAATGGTACAAAGAAATTTATGATTACCCACCTGTACAAAGAAATTTAATGGTAGGCGCTTTCCTTCCCTCAGAGAGGTTCTGGGTTCGAATACCCGCTCGGTTTCGTAATTTAAGTGGGGGGCCCTGGCGGTGGGTTGCTGGGCTAGTCTCCCCCGAGGTATAAGCGCCTCGATTACCTGTGCGGGCTCGTCTCCGGGGAATGGTGGCGGATCCTCGGTTACCAAAAAAAAAAAAGAAATTTAGGATTAATGTGTCACAATGGACATAGTTTGAGATTTTTTTTATGACCTTTTCCTTTTGTTTAAAGGAGGAGACTTAACCTAATTTATCAAATCATGACTTTCGAATGTACAAAAGAACCGAAAATTGATACCTAAAAGAAAAGGTACCAAATGTTTGGTGGGCATATGCCAAACTCCCGATTCTCCCTAAGAAAAAGTACCCATTGTAACAGGCTAAGTTATTTCGAGGATTTTGTAAATTAGAGCTAATATATATTTGATTTTCTTTATAAAAAAAGGTATGCAAATTCATTTCAATTTGAAAGTGGTAGAATTACACATTTAAATATAGTCAGTTACTTTTTAAAAAGTCCTAAATCTATTGTAAGACGACCAATTCAGTCTTAAATCTTTCAATTGTGCCAATTTAGTCCTAAACATTTGATGATTTGCTAATTTAGTTTTAAACCTTTTAACGATTTGCCCATTTAGTCTTTTTAGCTAATTTTGACCAAAAATTGCTAATGTGGCAATCTATTCAGCGCCGGCTGTCCTATATGGCATGACCGACACTAACGTGGACAATTTTCGTAATTTTTTTAAATTTTTTTGAATTTTTTGTCCTTTCTTTTCTTTTTCCTTTTTCCCTTTTTCCTTCTGCATGCCTCAGGCGAGGGCCACCCTCACCATATCGGGTGATGGAAGCCCTTGATTAGGCGAGCGTGAGCCGCCCTTGCTTGATCCTGCGGAGGGAAAAAGGGGAGAAAAGAAAAAAGAAAAGGAAACTCATAAAATTAAAAAAATTGCAAAAATTATCTATATTAGTGCTCGCCGTCTGAGTAAACCGCCACGTCAGCAATTTCAAATCAAAATTAGCCGAATGACTAAATTGACAAATCGTTCAAACGTATGTGACTAAATTGACACACTTGAAAGGTTTAGGACTAAATTGCCAAATTGTTAAAAGGTGCAGGACTAAATTAGCACAATTGAAAGATTTATGATTGAATTGGCATAACTGAAAAGTTTAGAGCTGAATTGACTGCCGAGGTCTTTTCGGAGATTTTTTCCATTACTTTAGATAATGAATTTCGATTTCTCAAAATGCATATATTAGAAAGTTTAACAAAATGACCCACCAAGTCAATGCAAGGCCCTGCCTCCCCCAGTCCAAACTCTTCCATGCCACGTTGCATGGTTACACCATCCTCTGATTTTCCTCCGCTAGCCTAGGAGTCAGGACTAAAGTCACTCCTCTGTCAAGGTATCAGTTGAATAAACACATAATAAACTACTGATTTTTCTCTTCGAAGTGCTTCTAGAAGCCGAGACACCCCGTTTTAAGGATTAGCGTTGGTAGCTCTTTGCTCCTCTTCATTCTTCCTCATTAGATCCTCTCTCTCTCTCTGTCACTGTTATGCATTTTGGTGGGGCCGCCATGGACGTCCTGTGCCAACTGAAGATCATGCTCATCACGGCTCTCGCTCAACTGGGTCTGCTCAAATCGCACGGTCAAGAAGGAGAGGAGGAAGAAGAAGAAGAAGCAAGCGAACTCACAATCCCCAACCCCGTACTCATCATGGACGGCTCGTCGCCGTGGCTCCTCCCAGTCCCAGTCCAGAAACTGACGGCCATGGTCAAGACCCGAGTACCGGTCGTCCAGTACGCAAGGTTCCTCGAAAGACAGCATGGGCTTGGACATGGAGTCGGCGAAGGAGAGAGCAAGAACGGATGGTGTGCGGTGTGCTTGAGCTGCATCGAGGAGAAGGACGAGGTCAGGGAGCTGAGCAACTGCTCCCACGTGTTCCACAGGGAGTGCTTGGATCGCTGGGTGGACCACAATCAAGTGACTTGTCCCCTCTGTCGGTCTCTGCTTTTCCCCTTCTAAACGTACTTGCCGTTTGGTTTTTTTCGGGGAAGAAGATGATGCAATTTGAGCCCTTTTTCTTTCCCTTTCCTTGTTTCCTTCCCCTGTATTTTCTCTGTTCTGACTCGATTTATTTAGGCATTTGACTAATTATCAGTTTACCCAAGAAACCGACACGTACTGAGGGAGAGATTCTGTCAAGTGATTCATAAGTTAACGCCCGCTCCCAAATGATCATCACCTCGTGTGTGGTTGCTCAGGTTATTCCCGCTGAAGCCTTGACTTGCGTGAAACACGCTGAATTGTTACAGATAGTATCAAGACAGAAATCTTTTTAGTAAATGATGTGGTTCGTAGACGAGTTATGCCTATACCTAATCTAACAAGGGTGGGAAGGATCGGCCAAGTAAGAGGGTTTAAGGTACAACTCTTGTCAGCCTTTTACGATAGCAGAGGTAGCTGAATTGATTGAGCCACACACCGAATAGGGAGAGTAATACGGGCGGTAAAGATTAATACCGTTTTTATAAGAAAGAAGTTTCTTTCCAATTTCCAAAGGAATCAAATTTGATCCCCTTAAAGAAAAGGTACCAATAGTTTTGTTGGGCACAAACCAAACTCCCGACTCTCTCTAAATCTTAAGCAAAATTAGCCAAAAAAATCAGCACAAATTTGTCGCCCTCCCTAAACTCATAAGCTATCTGAATTGTCGGATTGTCGTCCAAAATTTGACAAGTTTGCCCCAACATATCCCCAATACTAGTGCTGATATGTCCTGGCCGAATTGAAGACAAAATCACTTGAGAATCAATTTCCAACCGTATTTTTGTCAAAGCCTGATGAAAGACCCTATTAGAGGCTCAAATAAGCTCCCTGATTCTAATCATGCATGCAGCAAAGAGCAGAACCCCGCGATCTGAATCCACTTAGCCAGTTGCCAACTTTCGTCACGAATGTGTTCACCACCAGCTGCTAAACCCGGATTGCCTTTAGAGGCCTCGTCGGTGTTGAGCATCACGTAGTCCAACGGTGGGAGGAGTTCATCCGACAAAAACATCTTGTTTTCGCGAATTAACCGAAACCCACGTCTCAACTGACCTTGCCGTACAATCACGTAACTATCGGAAAGCTCGGAACTCCGACATTAGCTTGAAGCCACTAAATAGGAGAGTCTAGAACATGCCAAGACTTGTATCGGTTGGGGAGGCCCTGCTGAGCGATTCATTAGCCATGGACGGACTAAGTCCATACTCGATCTAATGAGGGTGAGAAATGATCGCCAAGGCAAGAGGTTTCGGACAAAGTGCGGCTCTCGGCAATTTTATAGGACCATGGAGGGGGTAGGAAAGGATCAGGCCACACGTTGAATGGGGGGATCATAGTGGGTGATATGCTCATTTTGACGAAGACGTTAGTTCTACAAGTACAAGTTTGGTGACATCCAAAGTCCTACATCGATTGTGAGAATCTATGTTGAGTGACTTATAAGTTAACACCTACTCCTACACGATCACCATTTTGTGTGGTTATTATGACTACTCTTTTTAGAGGCTTGACCCTCGTGGAACGAGTTAGATCATTACAACAATGATTTTGTAAATTGATACAAATGTATATGATTTTTTAAATGAAGAAGGTACGCTGATTCAATAAACTAACGAGTCTTGCTAACTAGTTTTTTATTTTTGCTTACGAGTCTTGCTAACTTGTTAGTTCAACTAAAAGAGCAAATATTTTTTCAAATCACTTCGAAGATGACAGAGTTACACGTTTTAGTAAAGTCACTTACTTCAAGTGATAAATTTTGAACTTTCAAAACACATTTAATAAGATTAAACAAGTACCTATTAGATGACATTCTTTAACATTTTCCTCCGCTAATTAAGGGGACTTGTATAGAAGAAAAAGTCAAATGCACCGTGGAAGAGTCATCATAATATCTTTCGTGTGTCAGCTAAATAAACTTACAAACTATCATGTTCTTTGCTTTGCTCTCTTCATTCTTTCACGTTTCTCTCTCTCTCTCTCTCTCTCTTACTGTTATGGAGTTTTGTGGAGCCGCCATGGACGTCCTGTGCCTGCTCAAGCTCGTGTTCATCACAGCTCTGGCTCAACTAGCTCTGGTCAAACCACCTGATCAAGAAGAAGAAGAAGAAGAAGAAGAAGAAGAAGAAGAAGAAGAAGAAGAACTCCCCTACCCCATACTCATCATGGACGGCTCGTCGCCGTCGCTTGTCCAAGTCCCAGTCCAAGCCCTGACGGCCATGATCAAGAGCCAAGTCCCCGTCGCCGAGTACCCAAGATTCCTGGAAAAAACATGGACATGGGGTTCGCGAAGGAGAGAGCGAGAATGGTGGAGGGTGTGCGGTCTGCCTGAGCCGCATTGAGAAGAGGGACGAGGTTAGAGAGCTGAGCAACTGCTCCCACGCCATCCGTTGCCGGGACCGATGGTCAATCACCGGCAAAAGAAAGGAGAAAGGAAAAAACAAAAGAAAGAAAAAAATCACAAAAAATAATAAAAAAATAAAATATTATTAAAAATCGTCCACATGGCTTGCGGCATCCACGTCGGTAATATCCTACCAAAATTAGCCGGAATGACTGAATTGACACTAGATCAAAAGGTTTATGATTAAATTGACACAATTAAAATGTTTATAACTAAATTGACATCTATATAATAAGTTTAGGATCGATTTCCACGCTACAACAATAATATTTTTTCCACGGGTCAGAAACCAAGGACTTAGGAATAAAACAAGAATATCACCATCAACATGTACTAGTAAATCTAATGGTAAGCTTTCGTTTCATCCCGAATAATTTTTTTTATTTACATTTTATATTCTTGAAAACATGATTGAAAGAATATACACGAAAAAAAGACATGTTTATTTCATCAAATCATAAGATAAAATTTTCTTTTGGGAATGAGAGCACCCGAAATAAATTTTCATTTATGTAATTTTAAATTATGAAAGTCGAAAGCTATTTCCAAAAATGATGTAAAACGCGTTTGATGGGTCGTGGAGAAGAAATTCGATCCACAAATAGGGCGAATCAAATATGTTTGATACGCAACATGAGTCTTTTTAAATTTAATAATATTTTCGATAAGCAGTGTTTAAGATGGCATATTCAAATCTCGACACGTGATTCATACGTCCCAACTTATACACAAAGGCAGAGTGTAAAAATAATTCCCTCTGGATTTAAATATCTTCTTTTTTGTTGTTTTCATGCGAAAGTCCAAATTCAAAGATGATAAAGTCTTGTAGAGTATTATGTCTGAAAGTCCAACCTAAAAGTTTAAACTTACGAGTGGATAGCAATTGCATGTATATAAAGAGCATATGAATCCTGAAGACAAGCTATGTGGGAACTATTGGGGTGTGATTCATACTCCCCAGCGACTGGACATCATGGGGGTCCCGCTCCCCTGTGAGCGGGCGGGGGTCGCGAGGGCAACGCCCTCGAGCCGCTGGAGGGCTTTTATAGTTTGTACCTGATAAATGAAAGTTTTCCAATTCAATTAGGTTTCTTAATTGGAATAGATTTCATAATTGGAGTAGGCTTCCTAGAAAGAGGTTTCCTATTTTGAATCAAACTATTGCCAATATATATTTATATATATTATCTTTCTCTTATGAGAGGTGCGAGTTTAAGGGTGAATTATGATAAAAATCTTGTGTCTCGATTCTCTTTCTCGCTTTTTAACTTTCTATTTTTTTGTGGTTGTGCGGCGAATCTTAACAGAAATGTTTGAGATGCCGAATATCCCGAATGATCCGTATCAAAGAAGTCTTCCGCTTTTTGTGGGCTCGTAGCTCGATTTTTGCGTGAAGCAAGAGGCAATTGGAAGAGGGAAGCAAGATCTTCAAGGCCCACGAAAGTGACAAATGGGTTGTTGGGGCCCTATTTGGCGTGGAACTTCGGGGTGCTCATTAAAGTTCTTCAAAATGAGAGAGATGGAGAGGGACTAGTACGCGTCGAGTTCAGGATTACACGCAAGGCCATCGGATCACGGGTCTTTTTTATTAGACCGCTTAACCTTTCTCGTGATTGATAAGAGTGAGCACCGGTTTAGGTTAGGTCCTGCAATCGGATCGGACTGACCCTACCAAACTGATTTTGGTCTTGTAGGTTTCAGGTTCTAAAAAAATGGGAATTAGTCTCGACAAGATATGTTCCACATTTCAAGTCTAGAATCTACTCATTTTAGAACTGCTCATGCCAAATTTACATGCCTTTTATACTCGTCCAGCGGACCTGCACTTTCCAGATGACGCTTATTTGTCCTGTAATACTGGAAGTCACAATTGCTTCCTCGGCTGAATGGTGTGTTTAGCAACTTCTGGCTGCGTCTAATCTGTCTCCAACTTGAGAACGTGAGCACATTGGGCAAACTTTTCAAGAACATGCATTGTTTGATCTCCACATCTTTCAGTGAATTCAAATCTTTCAAGTTGTCAATGGTTCTCAACACTTCACAATAACATAGTTGAAGTTGAAGATGCTGTATTTTTTTTTCTTTGATCTTTTATGGATTGTTGCTTTTGGTGGATTGAAATTTTTGTTCTTGCTTCAACTTTCATTATGCTTGAGTAAGGAATGAGTTGGACACTTCCCAATTACTTCATATTTTGTTTGTTTTTTACAGCACTTCTCTTCGTTTTGTTACTCTAAATATTTTTCTATAATTGCTATTTGTCTCGATTGTAAATAATGATATATTTTATTAAAATTTGTCCTTTCAAGGAATAATAAAAATAAAACAAACAAAAATAAAATTGACCGGTTCCCAAGTAGACCTTGGTATTCATTAGTTCCAAGGTCTACATGATAGGTTCAAGTTTTTCATATGGAATCGCTCACCCCCTAGTGATTAACTTGATCCACCACGGATCGCATGCAAAAATATGGTATTCTCCATGCACCCGATAGTCGGGGAGGGAGTAACTACATAGGTTCATTCTTGACGAACTTAGGCTCCTCTCCTGGGAATGGCCCAAGCTAGTTGAGGCCTCAAGAATAGAAGATCCTACGCGGGATTTCTCCATATCTAACTTAGGCTGCGTTTGGGAAGGCTTTTGGGTAAAGCCTTTGAAGAAAAGCAAAAGCCTTTAGTTTAAAGGGTTTTGGTAAAATGCAAAAACTGTTTGGTAAACTGTAATTGAAAAGTGCCTTGAAAAGCAATTTTAGGAAAATGCTGTTTGGTAAACATATATTTGGAAAGTTATTTGGCATGACCAATTTAAGTTTTTTAATTTTAATTTATTTAAAATTGAAAAAAAAAATAATGACCGTAACTTTTATATTTTCGCGTTGAGAGTAACGTAAAATATATATATATATAAATCACATCAAAGTGGATCGTTCTAGACCTTTCTCAATTAAAAAGAGTAATTTCATTATACCAAATATGATCACATATGTCCCGAGCAAAGAAATATGATATCCTTAAATATTACATGGACATGCCTAGACATTCCAATAAAATATGCATTTAAACTAGTTGTCATTTTGGCCAACATTCAAATAGTCCAAAGTGATAGCAACTGCCAAGATTCACCAACATTCTCATGTCATTATCTACTGGAAATGGATGCTAGAACAAACCACATTTGTGCATTAATCAGTGTGCAACCCCACAAGTGTTTAACATACATCAACTCATCAGTTTGGAAAAAAAAAAAAAAAAAACCCACATTCTCTAGTACAATTCCCTTATGTCTTGGGAGCAATCCCTCCCACAAAAAGCAACGGCCAAGTAGAAACCAACATCGTTGTTTCAGCAATGGTCACACAAAAAGCAACGACCAAGTAGAAACCAACATCGTTGTTTCAGCAATGGTCACTCAGTATGACCATATCTTCTGTCTGTCTCTCCCTTTTTGTCAATCTCAAGACTTAAACTTGCACATTGTTGTCTCATGTTCACCACATGCTCAGTACTTTCCAACAACATACCGTGTTGAACTATTGCTCAGTGATACTCAGCTTGTTTTCCACCATTTCTACTCTCTAAGCCATCAATTCCTTCTCAAACTTCAATTAGGAAATCATCTCTTTGTCGCCAAATGTGGAGTTGAATCCAGGCAAAACAGCCATAGTCATCATCCTAAAAATAGTCATATGGTGATGTCAAATAACAAGTTCAATACAATGATGTCAAAAAAGTGATATTTTACAGGAATGCAGCATGTAAATTTTTTTAAAAAAGACAAGATGAGACTTGAGCACAGAACTATGACCGCAAATAAGTTCAGACCTACAGCAATAAAATGTGAAGATGGCCAAATAAGTAACTCTGAGAACCCATTTGACCAAAACACCAACCCCAACCCCATCTCCATCTCAACAAAACCAAGAACAAGAACAAGAACAAGACCAAACATTGAAGAAACGCAAGATCCTCAACTCAGAATTCATACCGCTGATGTAGCATCAGCAAATGATGCAGTTCCAGTGGAGAACCTGAGGTAATCAGTGAAGAGAATTACACTTGGAGCCCTGACAAATGTTTTGGAAGAAAATAAATCAAACTATAAATAATTTCTTTTCCACAATCTTCCACTACCAAATGTAAAAAGGCTTCCTTCTTGCAGAATTTTCACAGTGCATCAATGATTCTAAAACTCAAAACATTTCACTTAAAAAGCAATATATGATTGGAACACCAGTCAACTAATTTCCATATCCTAATGCGCAAAAATCTCAAGACATGAAGCGATCGAAAGAACATATCATCATCGTCATCATTTCAGTGAGCTTAACAAAGATATTCATGAGACATTGCCAAACGATTCAGCTTCTCCCTTCTAAAATCCTCTTTTTCCAGCAAATTGAAGGTAATTCAAAGTATTTCAACTGCGACAAAGAAAAAAAAACATATTTCTACGCTAAACAAGCAATTATTGACATTTCGTCAGAGACCAACTGCAGCAAAACAAATGAACAAATCACTCAACTCAATTCATTCATCAAAACACAAAGTCCTGGACACCCCCAAGCCTCGCTAATCAAAGAAATTAAAGAAATTAAGATTCATCCCATTCCCACATAACAATTCCCAACTTTCACACAATATCCGCAAGCCAAATCAGCCGGAAATTCATTACTCGAGTAGTAATATCTCAATCAAGCACAACATCGAAACAACCATTCACGAAATCACCATGTGCTTAAGAATCACAACTAAAAAAAAGCACAACGAGAAGGAATCGAAGCAAAAGAATTTGGATTCGCGGTGAGACGAACAATTGGGTTTTGAGCGAAGAGAGAGGCGAGCAACTGGGTTTTGAGCAAAGAGAGAGGCCACCAAGAGAGAGGCGACCACGAGAGAAGCGAGCGACTGCTGAGCGAAGACAGAGTCGACCAGAGTTCTTTCTTCGAAGAAGCAGAGAGAGGCGAGCATGAGCGAAGAGGAGAGGCGACCAGACATGTTCAATGAAACAGATGATCCATCCGATTTTTTACAGACCAATTCGAAACACAACACCACGAAAATAAGCACCTTCAAAAAAGGGAATCGACCCACGAAAGGAACAAGAAAAGGGTCCATCGAGAGCACGAAAAAGAACAAAACTTCGAGCTCGACGAATCCAACAAAAGCGATTCCAACTCACTATAGATCGTCGGGAGGACCAATTATGGAGACGCTCCACTCGAACACGTTGGTCTCGTCCACCAACCCCGCGGAGAACCCATCCACCGGGTTCCGGCAAAGATCTGCAGCCGATCACCAAACACCCCACGCCATCATCGACCGCGAGAAGAATAAGAACAGCGAAGAAACCCTTAAAAAAAGGAAGGCGGAATCAGGGTCAGAACCGGACCTCGGAGCGCTGCTTCTGGAGGAGAAGACTGGCTTTGATTCGAAGCCATCAAACCGCCGATTATTAAGGGAGGTGGGGGGAGTCTTCGTTGAGTGAGCGAGACGGAGGGAGCAGCTGCTCGTAGATCTAAAGGGTTTCTAGTTTCTACAAAAGGCTAAAGTTGGAATTTCAATAAATATTTGAGGGCAAAAAGGCAATTAAAAGAGTTTACTTATCCATATGCAACTTCCCACCTGCCTTGGGCTTTCCAGCCTTATCGTGGACGATCAAAGGCACTTGGGAAAGTCATTCCCAAACGCAGCCTTAAGGGTCTTCGTTCAATATGTGACGACACGTGGTTTGTAAAGTCGTTTTATTTTATTTTTTGTTAATCGAAATTAGCACGTTTCGACAGATATCTCATTAAAACTCCTAAATCTAACATTAGATGGGAGAGAAAAATCTCACAGATCTAATATCGGGAGAGCAGAACTCTCATATCCAAAATTAAATCGGGAGAATAAGGAAAGAAAACGAGAAAAAAAATAAAAAGGTAGAAAAAGGAGGGCGAGAGGAGGGAGAGATGTAGGTCAAATTCCTTTCCTTCACAAGTTGAAGAGAAGAAAGAAAGGCTGAAACGCAAGAGAGAGAGAGAGAGAGAGGAGGGGAGGGACAGAGACGGCTGGTCTGTCCAGCCCTCCATGATTGACTTTAAACATTGAAATAATAACAAAATTTCTTTGGGTGCATCATCATGTCCCATGAGTGCTTGTCGTTTTGTTGCTCTCCTTTGTCGTTTAATGTTTACAGTTCGATCACATTCTCCACGTGGACGGCTAGGCTTCTCATTTTAGTCCAATTCCTGCCGATTGGCATATTCTTCCGAGTCAAAATCAAATTCATCCCTGTCTGACGGAAGGCTATCGGATAAAATGTCAAAGACATTATCCAGAAAAAAATTGACTATCGAACTGAGGTCCAATCGGATCCGAACATCCTTTTAATACATTCAATACCCAAAATTGCTCGTGAATATCACAAAATAAAATATTAATCGACAGAGTCGGGAAAATTGAAATTCCAATTTAAATCGAGAAAAAGAAGGCAGAGAAGGAAAAAAAAAAAGGAAGAAAAAGTCGCCGGTGTCGGGCTTATTAGAACCCGACCCGACAAAAGCCAAATTCAAAATTTGGGATAAATATATGTTTGTCACGAATTAGACATGCATCACCGACAAAACAAAAGGATAAGTACATGGAAGTGGCATCTTCCACACGAGAATAAAAAAAGCGTAGTAATCGACAACAGGATAATATCTTGTATATGAATATTGATTTATAATGCTTTAGGGAATACTCTGCTCACGTCACTTTGCTCACGTCACTTTGAATGTCGAGACTAAAATTTCATTTGTTTAGCAGAAAATAAAAAATAATGATTATTTGTATTGCTTATAAAAATTATCGAGCGAAAAATATCTTTATTTTCGTGAAAATATTTAGACATAAATCGTTGTCGGCGATGAAACCGCGATACAAATAGGTAATAAAAACAAAATGAATTTTCTGATTTGTTGTTTCCCGAACGTCAGTTATAACAGGGGAGAGCGTCGACGGAAGAAGCAGAGGAGCGCGCTCTCTCAACCAAAACCAGGGGAGGCACGGAGGTGAAGACGACGACGGCAACGTAGTCGGAGCATCGGGGCTCCTGTCCGAGAAGCTCCGGCGGTCGCATACGGAGCAAAAAGGTTTCTTTTTGTTTTTCTCTCCCGTTTGCCTTGGTTTCGTTTTCTTTTCTTTTTCATTTCTTTTCTTGGGTTCGGATTCTTGTTTTGATGCTGTGGGTCGACAGATATCGAGTTCGGTTTGAGCTGATGAAGGGATTTGCTTGGAGGGGTTCTTTTTTTTTTTTATTCTTCCTTAATGCGGTCGTGTAGGAATTCGAGGGGCGACTTTTGAGGGTTGACTTTGATGATGATCAGCTTTTCAAGATATGGGTTGGATGCAATATGCGAGTGAATTTTTGCTGATTAGGAGGAGCCGGAGAAGCTGCCGCTTCAATGGCGTTGACTCTGTTTGTAACTGTGTTGAGAATTAACGCTGCTGGGAACTTGGAAGGGTGTGTGACCTTTCTTGGCTTTGAAGAAGATAAAGGGTCCATTTTACTTGTACTACAGAGGCCTAATGCTTGCGCAGCGTCACTGGGGCCTCCTCTTTTTTAGCTTTTTTTTTTTTTGGAAAAGTTTTCGGGTGCGAATGCTCAGGCTTGATTGTGCAATTCTATTTGGTTTGGGATTTGGCTGTCCTTAGCCTTTTATGACAAAGATCTGTCATCCGTGCGTGTTTGTAATTTTCGTTATGAGTCGACTTCTATGGCAGATCTGCTTGGTCCTTACGACTTGTGTTTATCCTCTTTTTGGCTGACAATATCATTAGTTGATTTGATCAACCAGGTGCTGATATTTCTTCTTCTGCATCTTTGGTTATGAGTTTTTTCTTCAGGAATATGTCAGGAGTATTAGGCCTGTCATCTGGGTAATTGTACTTGAGCTGTGACTCTACGTTGTTGCTCGATGCTGGTTTTAGATGCCCCTGGTCTTCAATGACCAACTAATTGATCGCTTCATCCTTTTTCATTTGGAAAAATAAGGATTGAACGTTACTTGTTAGCTCGCCATTCTCTATTCAGCCTAAGGGTTTCGCAGTTAGACTTTGGAGCTACAAAAAGTTGGAAAAAAGAGGAATAGGAGGAAATATTTGGGCATGATGCACTGTGAAGAAGCTTGAGGGTTTGTTATAGAATGTTTGGCGGGTCAAATCTCATGGATTGAAGTTGAAACCGTTCAAGGTAGATAGAAACCATGTGGATCATCTCGTCATGTGAGGTGAAATCATCTCTTGTATAGAGTGTGGTATAGGAGGCTGGCCTTGGCTTATTGGATCTAATTATGGAAAAAGCTTATCTTATTTTAGGATGTGGACATGTTTTGTGGACTTTATAAACTGTGATGCTGGATGCATTGGCAAAGGAACAGTTACATGCTAGAAAAGACCTTTTTAAGTATATAAGCTAGCCCTTCGAGTAGCTCTAGTATTTTGAAGGATTGTTGATGTCTACAAACTTTATAATGTAATGAAGGCCAGATTCGAACCTAGAAAAGGAGTTTTTAAGTGGGTACACCATATCGATGTTGTCGCTTTAACATGCAACTTTTATAGCATGTCATATGGTGGTGGATGTGACAGACACTGTTCAGTGACCCCATGTATGATCTAAGTAGACTTCCATAGACATGTTGAGACAGATGATATTGCTGAAGAAAGTCGAGAAATACTTTCTCCATAGTGGGTTTGATAGTGCAGGGATCCTCCAATGCATTTAAACCCTAGTGAAGAAAGTGTTATTTCTCAGACCAAATAACTAATTCAAGCAAACCGAAAATGTTGATGTTAGTCTAAGTCCATCTGCAGTCAGTCCTAATAGACTGCTCATAGCAACACACGGTGCCTTGCCATCCACAGAAAAGCTTGCCCAAAATGAAATAGCCAAACTAGGAATCAAAGTAGACCGGGTATATTTCATTTTGGGCAATCATTTCGGCCTGTAATGTGGCGCCGTGTGTTGTTATGGGCTATGTGCGAGGAGTAACTACATCAACATTCTCAGTCCCTTAGAATGAAAAAAGACACAAAAACCAAGTAAAAAATACTTGTTATTTCTGGTTTGACGGGGGATATCATTTCCTGGGTTGGACAAGGCCCAAGAGTGCCAGTGTAAATTTGGGGAATGCAGTCGTCTCACTATATTTGGCAAACTTCGTTTTATCATCTCCTTTTTCTTTTAGTGGAACCATCCAACTTTAGATGAGGAAATGAGATCGACCATTAAAGATTTCCTGGTATAGGCTTACTCTTACTCTGGTATCCTTCAGTGTACCTTTAGCTGTGGGGCCATCGCTTACTTTGGGTATTCGACTCACTTGGTTGTTTCTTTTGCTATAGATGAGCACACACGATTCTGAACATGGACACATCATCGAAGTGTGTGGAGATGTGTCAGCCATGGAAACGAGCCAGGTTGGTAGTAAGGTATGCGCAGAGGCACCTTGTGGTTTTTCAGACGCTAGAAATAGTTCGAAAGATGCAAGAGAGAGGTCAACCTCGATGAAGAAACTTTTGATTGTGGTTGTGCTTTGTGTTATCTTCATGAGCGTAGAAGTAGTTGGTGGTATTGAAGCCAACAGTCTTGCCATTCTCACGGATGCGGCGCATTTGCTGTCGGATGTTGCTTCATTTGCAATATCCTTATTCTCTCTTTGGGCATCAGGTTGGGAGGCAACTCCACGCCAGTCTTATGGCTTCTTCCGAATTGAAGTTCTTGGTGCACTTGTCTCCATCCAGATTATATGGCTACTTGCTGGGATTCTTGTGTATGAAGCAATAGATAGACTAATTAACGGTACCACCGAAGTTCATGGCTTTCTCATGTTCATTATTGCTGCATTTGGTCTTCTCGTGAATATTGCGATGGCGCTCTTACTGGGTCATGATCACAGTCACGGTCACGGTCACGGTGACCACGGTCATGGACATAGTCATGGGCATGATGAAGATGATGCACATGGACATAGTGATCATGCTCATAGCCACGAGGATCATGGTGATTTGCATACTCATGGATTCACTATCAAGAAACATCACCATCATCATCACGGAGAAGGTTCTAAAGGACATGCTGATCAGCATCGCAGCCACGAAACAGATCAAACCGAGCCTCTTCTGCAGACTTGCTCGGAAGCCGAAGGTGACTCAGAACCTGGAACCAAACAGAAGCAGCGACGCAATATTAACATACAAGCTGCTTATCTTCATGTACTTGGGGATTCGATTCAAAGTGTAGGTGTGATGATTGGCGGTGCGGTTATATGGATTAAGCCCGAGTGGAAGATTGTCGACTTGATCTGCACCCTGATATTCTCAGTAATCGTGCTCGGGACAACAATAAGGATGCTCCGTAACATTCTGGAGGTATTGATGGAGAATACGCCTAGAGAGATTGATGCGACAAGGCTCGAGAGGGGACTTTGCGAGATGGATGAAGTGATTGCGGTCCATGAATTACACATCTGGGCTATAACGGTTGGAAAGGTGCTATTAGCCTGCCACGTCAAAATAAAGCGCGACGCCAACGCCGATATGGTCCTGGACAAGGTCGTAGACTACATCAGAAGAGAGTACAATATAAGTCACGTCACCATTCAAATAGAAAGAGAGTAGATGTCGGAAGGTGACTGATTTAGTTTTGGTATTGTATAAGGATGGTAGGGTTTGGGTCACATTATAGCTCCAAATTTGGTTGGATGTTGCTGTTTTGTCCTTTTTCTCTTAGCTGGGCCTCTGAGGCTCTTCAGGATTATGATGTGATGTACTCACCTTGTGTCTAGTTTCTTTGACTACGATTACTAGTTCGTTAAGTATTAAAGAGAGCTGCTCCAGTTGAGCTGGAATGCGTCTTTGAGCTTTCCAATCTTGGCATTATTGAATTTCGGTAGTCTGGTTTGTTTAAGATTCATTTTGGTAAAAAAGTTTGCCTGTGTTGATGTACTTAGGCCGCTGTGGGCAGTTTGAGTTATGGGCCTCTACTAATCCAGATATCTATGATTGGATGATTTAACTCTTGACTATTAATTTCAGAAAGTTCAAGAACTACTGATGACAACATTAGTAGGAAAACGAAATCCACTAATCCTTTAAAAATAATTTGCTCGAGCCCTGTGCACCTTTCTGCCATGCCGAAACTTACCTGTCTGATGTAATGGCTGTTCATGAGGAATTTGGGAGAGATACAGAAGCGCATACAAGTCGAGCGTTTTGGTAGGAATCATCTTGATAGGCGAGACTACAGTGCTGCTCAAGCTTTGTTGGAGATGATGTTGTTGTTTACACAATGATTGGAATACATTGATTATGCCATATATTAGTTGAAATCTTAACTGGTGGTCCAAAATTTGCAAGAAGGAAAAGCAACCAAATAGCGGGATGTTCCTTCGCTCTGGAATCACCCAACGTTGCTTAGTTTAATAATGCTCCCAAATTCACTTTTGGTAAGCCAAAATACATCCTGTAAACAGAGGTGCACATCGTGTTCTCTCTGTACGTGCGTGCGTGTAACTAATCTCTTCATTGTACATGATCAATCATACATGAATTGCTGAGCTTTCCTATCTACTGATGAGCTGGGCAATGTACTAGCCTGCTTGAGCGTACAATTGGCAGGATTCGGCGTTCTTGCAAAGCTCAACAAGGGAGAAGTTGTGAGCATGATATGCCGCTCGAATGCCGGAAAAGCCTGCCTCCGCTGCTAGAGAGTCTTGAACTCTCTCCGGGTCCTCTCTTTTCCCCCTCGAAACATGATGATGATCCCTGCGCTTTGTACGCGTCGAGTTCAGGATCGCACGAGAGCAATGCCATTAGATCACGTGCCATTTTATACTAGACCGCTTACCCTCTCAACACGGTGATTATTAGGGGTGAGCATCCTGGAATTGGGTCGGATTCTGGTCCGGTTCCAGTATTTAGAGGGTAGGTTCTGGATTTGAAAAGTTGGGAACCAGTTCCGATAAGATAGGTTTCAAGTTTTAGATCTGGAATCTACCCACTCTAGAACCTCTTACCTCAAATTTGTGCACCTTTCTTACTCGTCCAGCAGACCTCCACTTTTTGGACAATGCTTATTTGTCTTACAATACCGAAAGTCGCAATTGCTTCCCCAAATGAATGGTGCGTTCTGCAGCTTCTGGCCACATCCAATATGTCTCTAACTTGGTGAATGCGGGCACGTCAGGCAAACTTTTTGCGGACATGCATTGTTTGATCTCCACCTCCTTCAAAGAATTGAAATCTTTCATATTGTCGACGGCTTTCAACATTTCACAACATAACGTAGTTGAAGATGCTGTAGTTTTTGTTTTGTCTTTTATAGATTGTTACTTTTGGGGATTGTACTCCTGTTGTTACTTTACTTTTTTTTTGCTTGACTAAGGGATGGTTTCGACGCTACGCAATTGTTTTATATTTCTGTTTGTTTTTTACTATACTTCTCTCCATTTTGTTACTCTACTATATTGCTGTAATTGCTATTTGCCTAGATTGTAAACAAGGGGATATTTTACCAAAGTTTGTCCTACTAAGGAATTGAAAAAAATGAAAAAAAAAGAAATTGACTAGTTCTCGAGTAAACCTGGAACCGGACCAGAATGACAAGATCAGTAATAGAGTCAGTTCCATGGTTCCCCATTTTGGAATCGCTCAGCCCTAGTGATTAACCCAATCCATCACGGATTGCATGCAACAATATGATATTCTCCACGCACTCAATAGACAGGAGGGAGTAATTACATAGGTTCATTCGCGACAAACTTAGGCCCGATTTCTCCTGGGAATGGCCCGAGCTGATTAAGGCCTAAAAAATAGAGATCCCACGCGGGATTTCTTTAGATTAAACTTAAGGGCCTCCGTTCAATAAGTGACGACGTTTGATTTGTAAAGCTGTTTTGTTTTGTTATTTTTTTTTGTTAACCGAAATTAGCACGTTCCGACAAATACCTCATAAAATTTTTTACGGAAACATATCATATAAATAACAAAAAATTAGTTCCGTCAAACTTTGCCCCTCGAGCATCAAAGAACTTAGATACATGTCAAGTTCCACTTTAACTCTACTCGTACCACCGCAACGACGGTCTCAAAACGAAAGATATTTCATGGAATCACTCTCTAAAAAAAAAAGTATTTTAGCCAAAAGCCAAAGCACATTGCTTGAATAATTATCCCTATAACCCATGAATGATTTTAAAAGTTGAAATAATAGTAATAAAAAATAAATATATTTTTTTGGGTGCATCATCATGTCCCAGGAGTGATTATCGTTTTGTTCCTCTCTTTTGTCGTTTAATGTTTAATTCGATTATGTTCTCCAGATGAACACGGCTAGTGTTCTCGTTTATAATTAATTCCAGCCGATTGGGATAGTCCTCCTAACTGTCAAATCGGACTAAGGTCCAATCATCCTTTAATCCATTGGTTTAATACTACGAAAAACTTCAAACTGGTACATTCGTAATAAATTTACCTCAAATTAATTTTTTGACCTCTAAAAACCCTAAATGTACACCTGTGACAAACTCCAAATTAATATATTTGCGACAAATTTACTTTCCATTAGTTTCCGTCAAATTGGATTAATACCACGAAAAATCACAAACTGGTAAACGGAGGGTAAAACCCTAAACTGGTACACCCGTCAACTGCCATATCATCCAACTCAGCAATTTGACAGTAAAATTTAACTTAAACTAACGGAGGGTAAAGATGTCACAGGTGTACCAGTTTGGGTAAAGTTATCATATATGTACGGGTTTGGGGTTTTTCGTGGTATTAACCCTAATTTATTCAATACCAAATATTGCTCGTGAATATCCCAAAACAAAAAATTAACCGATAATGTTGGGAAAATTGAAATTGGGAAAAAGAAAGCGAAAAAAAACCTTCTGTGTCGAGCTTTTTTAGTGCCCGACCCGACAAAAGCTGAATTCAAATATTGTGATAAATATATGTTTTCATCACGAATTGGCCTAATTAAAAACAAAAGCATTAACTTTAAGTCGAGTGACAATTCTGGTCCTAACTTTTGTTTGTCTTATAAAAAATCACAAACTTTCACTTAAATCTCAAATCTGATCTCCCTTGACTTATAACCATTGATTATCCAACTTGACTATTCCACTTTAGCAATAAATCCACGTGGCTTGCTGACTGGATTTAAAACACTATTCATTATCTTTTTCTTTGAGCTATAACTTGAAGACTAACGGTGAAACTGTTCATCTCCTTCACTTCACTAGCAAGTCAAAAAGATATCCGGATTGAATTTCTTTGGTCAGACTTCATAATTTGAAGTTGTAGACCAACGCTTGTCGACAAATGCCATGGACGAGATCCGCTAAGCTCACAATCATAACATTTTTTATCAAACAATGGTGATTTCGAACAGAAAGTCAATGGGGGGCCATCTTTGGGATAAGGGTGAAAATTGGTGATTTTTTATAAAACAAAAAAAGTTTGGGCCAGAATTATCACTTAATCTAAAGTTTGTGCTTTTTTACGAAACAAAAAAAAGTTTAGGTCAGAATTGTCACTCGACTTAAAATTTGTGCTTTTTTTTTTAATTAGCCCTTACGAATTAGACAAGCACCACTGACAAAACAAAAATCATAAGTACCTAGAAATCAATAGTGCCAGGAAATCAATAGAAAAACGTAATAATCTCATGTTGTAGGATTGCAACGACGATAAGATAATATAGAGTATATAAATATCGATTTATAGCGTTTCAGGGAATATTTGAATAAGCGGATTATCACTCAAAACTCGCTCACGACACTTTGAATATCGATGCTAAAATTCCGTTCGTTTTAGTGAAAAATGAAAGATTTGAAAACTTCATCCAAGAAACGATTGCCCGTCTGGTTTGAAAAAAAATGATTAGACGAAAAATATTTTCGCCGTCCATAAAAATCTTTGGATATAAATTGTTATCGAGAATGGAAGACTACTTATTTTAAAAATGGTTTTTTAAGTTATGCCTAACCTCCCCCTAAACGTCAGTATTAAGAGGGAGTAGCCCGCCTGAACTCTGTCAACCGGAACAGGGGGAGGCACGGAGACGAAGACGACGGAGGAAACGTAGTCGGAGCATCAGGTCTCCACTCCGAGAAGCTCCGGCGGTCGCACTAGTCTCCATCTCGGAAGCTCAATCCGGAGCAAAAAAGGTTTCTTTTGTTTTCCTCTCCCATTTGCCTTGGTTTCGTTTGTTTGTTTCGTTTTTTCAATTCTTTTCTTGGGTTCGGATTCGTGTTTTGATGCCGTCGCCGGCGGTCGACAGATGTCGAGTTCGGTTTGAGCTGATGGAGGGATTTGCTTGGAGGGGTTTGTTTTGTTTGTTTTGTTTTTCTTGCTTAATGCGGTTGTGTAGGAATTCGGGGGGGCGACTTTTGAGGGTTGACTTTGATGATGATCAGCTTTTCAAGATATGGGTTGGATGCAATATGCGAGCGAATTTTTGCTGATTAGGAGGAGCCAGAGAAGCTGCTGCTTCGATGGCGTTGACTCTGTTTGTAACTGTGTTGAGAATTAACGCTGCTGGGAACTTGGAAGGGTGTGGGACCTTTCTTGGCTTTGAAGAAGATTAAGAGAGCCCCGGGGGGAGTCCATTTTGCCTTGTGTTACAGAGGCCGGCCTAATGCTTGCAGGGTGTCACTGGGCCTCCTTTTTTTCTCTTTCGTTTTTTCTTTTTATAATGGAGGTTTCGTCGAGTAGTAACTCTATTTGGTTTGGGATTTGGCCGTCCTTAGCCTTTTGTGACCGAGATCTGTCATCTGCGCGGTGTTGGTGTTGGTAATATCCGTCATAACGTCGACTTGTATGGCAGATCTGCTTGGTCCTTACGACTTGTGTGTATCCTCTTTT